ACTCCATAATCACCCTATGGATAGAAGGGAACACTGGGATATACGGTGACTCCATAATCACCTCAAAGATGGGAGGGGACACTGGGATATACGGTGACTCCATAATCACCTCAAAGATGGGAGGGGACACTGGGATATAGGGTGACTCCATAATCATCCGAAAGCCAGGAGGGAACATGGGGATACATGGTGTCTCCATAATCATTCCAAAGCCAGGAGAGAATCCTGGGATGTACGGCAACTCCATGATCACCCCAAAACCATGAGGGACACTGGGATATAGGGTGACTCCATAATCATCCGAAAGCCAGGAGGGAACATGGGGATACATGGTGTCTCCATAATCATTCCAAAGCCAGGAGAGAATCCTGGGATGTACGGCAACTCCATGATCCCCCAAAACCATGAGGGACACTGGGATATACAGTGACTCCATAATCACCCCAAAGCTGGAAGGAGACATTGGGATATAGGGTGCCTCCATAATGTCCCCAAAACTTCCCTCTGGCAGGAGCCAGGGAGAGGCCTTTGCTTTGGGAATGCGGATTTGAGACCCCGAGTGGGGTTTGCCCCACGAGTTGCCAGGGATGGAGAGGCTCTGCCGGGACATCCCGGCTGCATCAGGGAAAATTAACTCAGGGAAGTGACTTCCCAGCCCAATCCCATCTTTTTTTTCTCCCCAATCCCTTTTATTTTGTCGTTCCGAGGGCCTGTCTTGTCCCAAATTAACGCAGCTCCTTGGTAGGAGGAAGGATGGGAAGGGGTTAAACACCTGCACCCTTCCCCACCCCATATCCCAAGGCATTTCCTGATGCTGGGCAGGCACCTGTACCCTTTTCACCTTCCCCTGGGCTGCTCCAGGTGTTGCTCCCCGGCTGGGGAACCCGGAGAAGTCACAGCCCAAAAGGGAAAAACTCCCTATTCCAGGGGGAAAAGCAGTTGGCAAATAGCTGCAGGCACAGCCATAACACAGAGCCCCATCTGGGAATGATCAAATCCACTCAAAAATGATAAACCAGCCCAAAAGTGGGGGGATGGATGCGGGGCTGGGTGTCTGCACCAGGTGAAACCACACCTGTGTCACCCGCTGTCACACCGGGGATGTGTGTCAGGGATAAAGGGGGCTGGTTTTCCATGGAAATCTGATTGCACGAAGGATTCATCACTGAATATATTATTATTATTATTATTATTATTATTGTTATTATTATTATTATTATTATTATTATTATTATTATTATTATTATTATTATTATTATTATTATTATTATTATTATTATTAATAATAATAATAATAATAATAATATCCTTTTGGCACAGCCCCCAGCAACCTGCTATCCCACCCCTCTAATCCCAGCACTTGGATGCCTATCCTGCATCACATCCCTATGTGATAATTCTGCATATCGGAATTATTTCCCTCCAGGTAATTTAAATCACATTATTTTTTTTTCTTCTTTAAATTATTTCTCCAAAGCCACAAAACAAAGGGGAAAAAGCCTTTCCCTGCTCCCTGCAAACCACTGCTGCTGCTGCTGCTAGCAGCTTGGTGCTTGTTCCCAGATGGATCCGTGGGGCCGCGGGAAGGACGGGAGCCTTTCCCAGCCCTCCCGCCGACACCTGCGCTCGCTCCCTGCTTCCCAAAAACATGGAAACACCGGACTCCAAAACATGGTGAGGCACATAAAAATATATTTTAAAAATATCTACATTGCCTCTTCCCATTTCTAAATCCCCCGGGATTTAGGGATGGACGGCGCTGCTTTTTCCCCAATAATTCGCGTTATTGCCCGGAGGCTCCAGGCACTGCTGGAAAAGGCCAGGGAATGGCTGAGCTCCCCCTCGGGCATCCCACAGCTGCCCTTTCCGCCCAGACAAGTTCCTGGTTGTTCTTTGACCTTTGGGGTTTGTTCTTTTTTCCCCCTTTCACGTGGTTTCAGAGAGGAGAGGTGACGGAAGCAGCGGGGAAGGATCGGAGCCGGGGTGTCACCTCCCTGCCCTGGGCTGGAGGGGTCAGGAGAGCATCAGCACCAGGATATAAACACCCTCTGGATTTTGGGGGCTCGGTCCAGCCTCCCCAACATCCACAGCTGCTCTTTCCCGCTGTCCCCACGTCGGTGACATTTCCCTCCCAGTAACTTCCCGCTCCCAGAGATGCATTTGGAGGTTTTGCTTGGCAGAGCCTGGGCGAGGATGAGCCAGGCGGGTACTGGGAACACCCACGGCTCCAGCTTTAATTCCCAATTAAATTAAAGGATAAAAAATACATTAATTCGGAATATAGGCCAAACTGCCTCACCAGAATCTGGAGAAAACTTTCTCCAACCACTCCTTCACTGAATATTACGGGAAATAACACACCTTCACCTGGAGCATTTGGGAACAGCCCCTCACCTGAGAAGCAGAGAAGCTCAGCCCTGACTCCCCTGTTTTCCCCCAGCACTGTACACTTTTCCTTTCATCCCCACACTTCTGCTGGGTCTCATTATATCTAAATGCTGTGAAATGTCTGTTCTCATCCCAGAAAGTCACAGCCAAAATCAGCAGGTACCGTCTCCACACCCATCCTGATTTTCGGGCACCGTGGTGTTGGTGCACAGAACCGAAGCCACACGGCTGAGCCACGGTTTTCCAGCTCTCCAGGGAAGGAGATCAGGCTGCTGCTCCTTTTCTAACTGGCTTTTTAAAGCCATATATTGCTCTCAGGGAAAACACCCCAAGCAAGCGAGACATAACACCGGAAAACCGCTCCGGAGAGCGGGATGATGCCAGACCTGCATTCCCAGCCTCCAACCCAGCCAGGGACGACTGAAACGACCGAACGCCACAGCACAAAAAAAAATCCCAACCCCACCCCAAGCCCAGGTAAAATAACCCATCTCCAAGGCCAGGAAAACCAGCAGGGTTCAGCCCCAGTGGGATTCCCGGGCAAACCCAGCAGCGTGAGCCCCGCTCGGGTTTGGTGCCGCTCCCGCTGCCCGACGCCGAGCTGATCCCACCGGATGGACGGATGGATGGGTGGACAGCGGGACAGCTGGCGGTGGGATGGGCAGTACCTGGGTCTCGGAGAGGCTGAGGCTGCTGGCCAGCTGCTTCCTCTCGGCGCCCACCACGTAGTGGTTCTTCTCGAAGGCCCGTTCCAGCCGCAGGAGCTGTGACGGGGAGAAGGCCGTGCGGATGCGCTTGGGTTTCCGGGCGAAGGGGCCGTGCAGGAGAAGGCTCTCCTGGGATACCTCGCTCCCTGTGGACACAGAGCACAGTCAGGGTCCTGCACCAGCAGCCCCAGCACCAGATCCCGCTCTGTGGGTGGATGTTGGGGTGACACTTTCACCTTGTGACATGGGGGGACAGATGAGGGGTATTGGGGGGTCCTGGGTGCCTTCCCAACCCCAAAATTGCAGGATTATGTCCCCACAAGCACTGCGGTGTCGTAGCCGTGCTCCCTCCTGGCTGCCCTTGGTGGGGCTGGATGTGGGAGGATGGAGAAGGGAAGGGAAAGGAGAGAGAAAGAAAGAGGGGGAGAAGGGATGGACCAGGAAAGCAGGAGGAAGAGGAAGGAGAGAAGGGAAGGGGGAGGAAGAGAAAAAACTGAGATAGAAAAAGAAATTATAAAATAGGAGAAAGAGACAGAGAAAGAGAAAACCAGAGAAGAAAGAAAGAGAAAGAGAGAGAGAAAGAGAGAAAGAGAGAAAGAGAGAAAGAGAGAAAGAGAGAAAGAGAGAAAGAGAGAAAGAGAGAAAGAGAGAAAGAGAGAAAGAGAGAAAGAGAGAAAGAGAGAAAGAGAGAAAGAGAGAAAGAGAGAAAGAGAGAAAGAGAGAAAGAGAGAAAGAGAGAAAGAGAGAAAGACGGGGAAAAAAAACAAGAAGGAAGAGAAAGAGTGAAAGATGAAGGAAAGGTGAAGGAAAGGTGAAAGAAAGTGGGAAAGCAAGAAAAAGAAGGAAAGAAGCAAAAAATAAGGAACGAGAGAAGGGAAGTTGTAGACCAAGCAAGCAAGAGAAGGTAGAAAAGAACGAAAGAAAGGGAAGAAAAAGAAAAATAAAGACGGGGAGAGGATGCAGGGCAGCGAGCCGGGGAGGGGGAGCGGCGGGCCGGGGGCTGGGGCTGCGGGGGCAGCGGGGCCGGAGCGGGAGCCCCGCACAACCCCGGCCCGAGCCGCTCCCGGAGCCGGGGGTTCGGGCCGCTGCCCCCCGGGCACCGCCGGGAGCGGCCGCAAATCCCGCCGGAGCCACCGGAGACAAGCGAGGGGTTGGTGCCGAGCAGATAAACCTAATCCGGGCTCCGGGACCCCCCGGCATCGCGGGGGGACGGTGGGACAGAGAAGGGACAGGGATGGAGAGGAAACGGAAAGGAAAAAAAGAGGGCGGGAAAAAAAAACAGAAAGAGAGGAAAAAAGGAAGGGGAAAAAAAGGACGGAGATAGAGAAAGGAAAAGGAAAAGCGAGAGGATAGTAAGAATGGGAGAGAAAGAAAATAGAGATAAAAAAATAGAGACAGGGAGTCAGAAAATTAAGAGAAAGGAGGAAATGAGTAAAGGAAAGAAGAAGGAAAGGAAACAAGGAAAGAAGGAAAGAAAAAAGAAAAGAGGAGAGAAGAGACGAAAAGAAAGAGAAGAATATGAAAAGAAGAAGAGAAAGAAAAAGGAGAAAGGAAAGAGAAGGAAAGAAATAAAGAGAAGAGAAGAAAAGAAATAAAGAGAAGAAATGAAAGAAAGAGAAGGAAAGGAATAGAGAGAAAATCTACGGAACCAAACAACGTCTCGCTGCGCAGCCGAGATCCACCGCACCGAAAATCTTTCCCTTCGTTCCCGAGAAGGAGAAAACCAAATTCCCGGCTCGGCTGCGCCGGGAGGCGGCAGCGCCGGTCCCGTTCCCGGGAGCCCCGCGATGCTCGGCCGGGACTCCGCGGGGCTGCCCCGGTCCCCCCTCGCTCTGCCCGGGCACGGCACCGATCCCGGGGCTGCGGGATCGCACCGGCCCGGGGCGCACACAGCGATCGGCGGCGGCTGTTTAAAGGCACCGGGTGCCCAAAGGCACCGGGTGTCCAAAGGCACCGGGTGTTTCAGGGCACCGGGAGCGCAGAGCCACCGGCCCCGCCGGGTGACCGCGCTCGGCCCCCGCCGTGCGAGCGCCCGGGGCACCGCAGCAACAGGTCCTGCCCTCCGGGCCCCCCTCGCCCCCCGGGTTCAGGAGCCCCGCGGCCCCCGCAGCCCCCCGGGGGCACCGCCAGCCCCCGCCCCGCGCCCGCCGGGAGCCCCCGCTCACCTTGGAAGCGGTGGCCGAAGAAGCGGTTCCGCAGCACCCAGGGGTAGAAGTTGAGCGGGTCGCGGTGCTGCGGCCCGAAGAAGGGGTGTGGGTGCGGCAGGGCCGAGCCCCCCAGCTGGGGGGGCCCGACGGGCAGCGCCGGGTGCCCCACGGCCTCGGGGAAGACGAGCTCGGCGCTGCCGTAGAGGGCCCGGCCGGCGGCTCCCTGGAAGCCGGGGGCGAAGGCGGCGGCGTCGGCGGCTGCGGCGGGGCCGGGGTAGGCGAGGGCGGCGGGGCGCGGGGGGTCCTCGGGGCCCAGGGGGGTGTCCTTGCCCACCAGGGACTCGATGGTGAAGCAGCGCTTCGCAGACGGCTGGAACATGGTGTGGGCGGGGAGGGGGGGGGGGGGGGGAGGGGGGGGGGGGGGGGGCCGGAGCGGGGCCGGTCCT